GAAGCTTTTTTATCCCTTTGCCTATTACCAAATATTCAACACAGTGTAGTTTGCATAGGTTTCGATTGTGCTGGTTTCTGTATCAGTGCCAGTAATCTGTTGTCATTCCCCATTGTTTAATTTACTTGGACTGCAGAGAATAATTAATGAACAAAGTTGTGAAATTCTTATTTAAAAGTATATTTAAGATGCAAGTATTTTAGTAGGGCCCATTCTGCTTTACTTCTCCAAAAATCACCAGAACGTAGAAAATAATATATTTTGTGAGAAAAAAGTTCCACATAACTAAAGACCACTTATTGTTACTCAGTATAATTTACTCTGCTATAAAAATTCCACTTTTTTGCCTCTTTCTCTCAGTTAAATCCTCTGAAAATATCCAACCTATAGCTGTGCCTATCCTTATCTAACCCTGAGAAGGTTTCCTGTCCAAACTATTTCAATATCTCACCCCAAGGTTTGGTGAAAAGTTGGCAGCCCTCCGAGTCACAAATCGAGACTCTGCATCACACTAATAACATTGTGCACTATATGGTGAATCTTCAAAATAGAACTCAACCATATGTTTCTGTTGCATTTTGCACCATATCTATTTATTTATTTTTGCACTGCTCTGACCCTTCCACACCAATGTCCTTTTGCACCATTACTCTCCCTATACTGTTTACATTTTGATCACTGCTGCGCTTTATAAATAGAAATATTCTTTTTCACTGCTAAGCTGCTCCTCATTCACTTTCGAAAAGCTGTATAAATGCATGTCGTTTTGTATATACTCTTGTGTATATAAAATTACAATAAAGTTTGTCTAACACTATAGTGTAAAAAATTCCTCGAATGCATTGGATTCAAGAGAACAAGAAGTTGCCAGACGCTACTAAACAAATGTGTTTGGCTAACTGACCATCAACAGTTTTAACCCTCTGTCAGTTTGTTTGTTATGTGTCACTACAATACCAGAACGGAATTAGATCAGAAAGCTTTTGAAATAAGCAACTGCTATCATTATTACTAACAGTAGTCATTACCTGCCATGATTCTCTCAGGAACCCATTGATGGGATTGTAGTTAAGTACCTTGCAGCCTTCTCAGGACTCTAACCACTAACCACCTGCTTCTCTTTGACCACAAGCCTGAAGAAATTACTTATAATTTTATAATTATAATTGAGCTTTATTGATCTCACATTGGAGAAATTCACCTATGCATTTAACCCATCCCCTTGGCAAGCAGTAGGTTGCCATTGTGCGGCGCCCAGGGAGCAGTGTGGGGTTAAGGTTATTGCTCAGGGAGCCACAGTGGCACTCTTTGGGGATCTAACCGGTTACCTGCAACCTTCTTGGAGCACAAGTGCACTGCTCTAACCACTAGGCCAACACTCCCATTGAAACCTCAAAACTGCATCATCACAAGTGAATCTTAAGGCCTGTATTTTCTGCAGAAACAAAGACATGTTTTCTTTCATAGGCATGCAAGAATAAAATGATGCCATTCTTTTATTATTACTCTGGTTTGGGAGATCTTGAAACTTCAGGTTCATTTCAGCAGAACCTTTGCACGCGTGATACTCAGCAGCCCGATTAGGAGGCCTCCTCCCTGTAAAAAAATCAGTTTCTATGTTCTTTACCTGTATGTTGGTCTTTAGGATGTTACAGTTCAAAACTAATAAATAATTAGTAAGAAAGATAAAACAAGTAAGGAAGAGATCTGATAGAATGATGGAAGTGTGCAAAGTTGCAACTGAAGTATATCATTACCTCTGCGACAAAGTTGTTTTGACAAAAGAGACAGAACAAGAGACCAAGGTGCACAACAACATGCTAGATTAAAGAAAGCAGAGCGTTACAAACACCTCCTAAAACTGTCCAGCAAAGCAGTGGAAACTTGATCCTTCTGGATGTCTGTAAAAAGAAAAGTTCCTGCATATCTCCATCACTACAAGTTGTTCCCCAAAAAAATTTGTAGTCATGGAGATGAGCAGGAACTTTTCTTTGTACCAACATCTGGAGCTTGGGCTAAGCAGGGTTATCAGGAGGAAAGACGTCTGAAACATGGTTGCAGATCTAAAACAGGAGTGAGAGGGAAAAAGAGGAAGTGATATTAGAGAGACGTATCTACAAACTTTAATGATGAACCATTGGTGCTGAGATAAAATAAAATGATTCTAGATTGATGTGAGAGGCTAATAAAGTTATATAGAAAATGACTTTTAATGGTTATTCTGCTTATTCTGTATTAATCAAGGTCTGAATGCAGTTAAGTCATCATTTTTATAATGGACTAACTCTAAAAAATAAAGATTTTGTGTAAAAGGAGATTTCAGAGGTTGATAAACTTTCATTGTTTTGTCTTTCTTTAAAACTGTGTGTTTTGTTTAAGGCGCTCGCTGTACTAACTGAAGAGCTACAAGCACAGATTAGAAGGGAGAACGAAGACAGCCTGAGGCGGTTTCAAGATGAAGTACGGCGGCGAGTGGCACATCAGGCTCACCGCAGCAAGAGACGACAGCAGAATCACGCGCATCCCTCGGTAACATGTTTCCACTGACTAAGATCCTGCAAAACAAAGCAGATAAACCGCTGATTCAACTTCTGCAAAGTCATCAAAAATAATAAAATTTGACTTGGATGATATACTATATTCACCTTTGTGATATAAAATCTAAAATAGTCGAATAATAATCATCTATTTCAGGTAAATGAAACAGGAAACATGACCTTCAGAGGCGTATTGGGTAACATGACTGAAACATAGGCTTTAGAAAATTCAACCAGTCCTAAATATTTATCATATTTACACCCAGACGGTTCAGACTAATGGTTAAATTGTTACCTCGCTATCCGGACCTTATTTGGGAGTACATTTGGACCCAGGTAATATAACTGTGCTGATCTTGTCATAGTAGATCTCTGTATCTTTGTCTAGGTCATATCTCACAGAAGATTCCCACATTATCAGGTGGTGACCCACCAAGTGTTTGATAGTGAGGAGAACATCCCCTCAGGAAGTGCTGCACAGCACAGAACCTCCCCACAGGTGAGAATAAAAGACAGTTTTGGAGCAAAGACCTTGAGGATGTTTAATAAACCCAGAGCTAAAAAAACAAAACACTGAAATCACTGTAACATAATAAGTTCAGCTAAAGGAACCATTTATCTTTAAGCCAAGGTGATTTTCCAACCCAGACCTAGAATGGTGGAGATATTTGTTCCCAGTTTCTTAAAACAAAAAGCCCTAGATTCCAAGAAGCATTTCCAGTAAATCTCAACCTTAAGTACCCCCTTGTCAAGGGAGCTGGAGCTCTTTTGCAACAGTAATAAGCTTGTAGCTGACTAAACCTGAGACTAACACACACTTATCATATGTCCAGATCTTCATCTTAGACTCCTCTACAAGACTATTTACTTCATTCTAATATCCAACAACCGCAGCCCCTACCCCATCCATGCCAAAAAGCACTCACAAAGCCAAAAAGCAATTTATGACCAAATTTGTGTTTCAGTGGGCCTCATTCCATGAAATGATGGATTGCTAATAAGGGCCAACAAGACACTGAATTCAAACTCATTAGCGAAACTCTTATTTGCAGCAGACCACTTAACAAAATCCTCCAAAAACACCAGGAAAGCACATCAAATTTGTTTTGTTTTTTCATCAAAAGGTGATTTTATCAAAAAAAAAGTCAGTTTAAGGAATATATCCAACCCATAACAAATATATAACATTTTTCCAAATGTTACATTTCAAGAATAAATTCCAAATCTCAGAAAATATGCCAAACTTTTCCAAAATGGCAGCACAGCAGGAGTTTGCATTAAGTTTTTCAATCCAAACGTTTATAACTTCTCAGTGCTTGTTGGATGGAGACCAAAATTGCTACATATGGAACCAAGATGTTATATTTGCAGCTTAGTATGTTTATTTCCTTCATTACAGGAAAAATATGAAGTTTTCTATGTAAACATCTATTTTTATTGTGTTTTTTTTAAGGCAGAAGTTAATTTTTGGCTATTTAAATATAACAGAAAAATGTACTTTCACATTTTCACATCCACTTCATCCTCCAGGACCTTTATGTCCTGTTTATAGCAGGATTAGTAGTTTAGTATGTGTACAATTTGAGAAAATTGACCACAAGAGATTAAGTTGGTCAATATGAAACATTATGAGTCATTTATTGGTCTGACATGTAAAGTGATGGTTTGACCTCTAGAGAGCAGTAAGGAGTTAATTTCAGCTGGTAAATAGTTTACATTCTGGTCACTTCACGTTTAAAAAAAAAGATGCTTCGGTCCTTAAAATCGCCGGTGTTTTTTATTTTTTTTTCTTTTATCAGAGGCATCACGTTATTTTTAGTCTGACTTATCAGATAATGTGACTATGATTAATGTGGAATATAATTTTTTTCTTTCCATTTTCCAGTCTAGGGACCCTATGAGGCAGGTCAGACTCAGACTGGCCGCCTGTCGCCTGATCCAGCAAGAGGAAACGGCATCAGACCTTCCAGGGGGCAGATGGAACATCTCTCCAACCAGACATGCGAATGTCTGTGTCTGACACATTGTTCTGCTTTTTTAACAAACTTCTCATGGTCACATTTGTTTTAGTTTTTTCTGGAAGTTCAAGGAATAACTGAAAACTCTCCACTTAGCAGAGATCTGGTGCTCAGGGGCAGAGAACAGAGCGCGATGTTCTGGAGGATGAAGGAGAGGAAGCCAGAGATCCTCCTCTCTTTGGCAGTCAACATGAATGCCCCCTTGTTCAACAGAAGGTGACTGAATTCCCAGCATGCAACAGTGAAATCATTCATTTAAAGTTTCTATTTTGTTTTTAATACTTTTTTTTTTCATTTTAAGCACAATATCTTAATCTACTATACTTTTTTGTAAATTGCTAGTAAGAAAAAAAATAATGTTAAAAGTGTGGCATGCATTTTGCCTATAAACAGGGATTTTAGCTGTTTTGCTTAAGTCATCTTCACAATCTCGCTCTCTGCTGAAGACCAGCACGAGTTTTCCCCCACTGTTGTGTTCAGGGTCATGTGCAGTTTTTATTTACACACAGATTTTGCCTGACTAGCAGAAAGCTGTTTTTGGTCTCATCTGAGAAGAGCGCCTTCCTTTTTCCCTTTCCAAACACGAATGAAACATCTTTTCTGCTGATTTTAAAAATAATTTTAAAAAATCTTCCAATGTGGTTACATTTCTTCACCTGGATTTTTCTGTGCAAATAGAGGAACAAGCTAATTTCCTTAATCGTGAATAACTGTTGCTTTAAAATTGAGATTTAGATATTTATAAGTTTAATATGTTTTCCCAAATTTCTTATGATGTCCAGAAGAAGCTTATTTTAAAGTGATGATGTAATCTATGGAAACATCTTACTTGTTGATCTTCATCTATAGAGCCTTGAAATCCAGTTTTAAAACTGTTTTAAACTGTTTTAAAACAGTTTGTTTCAAGCTGTGGCAGAATTTGAAAGAGCTCAGCGTTTGTGAGCACAGTGGTGTTTCTACTGCTAACCTTTGACAGAGTACTATTTCAGCTGTGAAACTGTGAGTTCCTCTTATATTTTAGCTTACAGAAGAGTTATGTTTCACTTCTTCAACCATTGATCAGGCAAAAAGACCTCCAGGAAGTTGGAATGAAATTTTCCCTCCTACCTGGGATGATGGACTAAATGTTGTTGGTTCTACTTTGCTTTATCTACAGCAGGGTTCTTGCATCGTCGCAAAAACAATGTAAAATAATTTGATCCAAGTGTTTATTTGTGATGATGGATAAAAAGCATTTATATCATTGATTACCCAATGAATTTATGAGGGTTCTTTTTGTGATTTATTTATTTTTTTGAAGAAGAAGAAGAAACACAAATGCTGTATTTTCCAGACTATAACCCACTACTTGTTTCCCACGCATTGAACCGTGCTGCTTATAAGAAATGCCAGAGAGGGATGTCAAAGTTGGAAATGAAAGAATAGGGGCTAATTTTCATTAAGCACAAGAACATGCTAGCACCAGGCACGACGGAGAAAAAATGTCCAAAATTCACACATGGGCAGGGCTCAACTGCTGCAGAGCTGAAATAAAGAGCTTAAGAAGCCCCATCTTTGAGTAGAAGCTCTGTAGAGCTCCCCCTACAGGTCTGGTGGGAGACAGTTCAGTAGATATCAGCGGTTTATAGCCCATTGCGGCTTATATTTAAATGTACGTTTTGAGTTTTTTCAAAACATTTTATTATTGTTAGGTGAGGTGCGCTCTATAGTTTGGAAATTATCAGCAAGCATGAAGTTCATCTTGTTTGACATCCATTCTGTCTGGTCTTTCTGATTTATCCATCTATTAATCTGTTTTTTTTTATCCATCCACACATCAATCTGGTTGTCTGTCTATTTGTGTTCCTTTCCTCCCTCTCAGGTTTTTGCAGTTGTCATATTTGAATAAAGTGGAATTACAATAAAAATCCCGATAGTTTCTATAACTTTGTCCCTAAAGCTGATTCTGATCTAATTTATACTTGAAAGAGGACAAAGAATCTCCAATTTATGAAGTCAGGATCCTGCAAATCAATCTGGATTATACTTCATTCAGGATATCTGGATTACTGGCCTTGTTAATGGAAAGGTCCATGATTAAAAATGCACGTCACACTTTTCAGATTTTAGTTTGTATAAATTGTTGTAAAATTTATACTTTTTCTTTCCAGTTCCTAATTCTGCTCCTTCATGTAGTACTGTAACATTAAATCTTTGTAAAATGAATTAAAGTTTGTGATTATAAAATTGCTGAATGTGTTAAAGTCATGGAGCCTCTATCTCTTCTCATACTCTGCCGTCTTTATATTTCAGGTGGGCAAACATGCTTTTTTGGATCTTGATGATTTGCACTCAGATCACAGTTCTGCTCGAAGCCTAAGTGTCCCAAGGGTTCTCTGGCCAATGATGAATCAAGAAAAAGTAAAAAAGCAGGTAAAGGAAGGTCTGATTGAACAATATACCAAATATAAAATATATAGATATACCAGATAAAAGTGCGGCTTTCTCTGCAGCGTCAGGCTCAGTTTTTGATACACCGGCGTCAGGCCATGAGCACAGAACGGGAGCAGGTGAAGGAGAACAAGCAACTCAGGAAACACCTGAAGAGGACTGCAAGGTGATCTTTGACCACCAGCAATATGGTTGATAATACTTCTCAGGAGGTAAAAAAAAAACAAACAGGTTTGATTTTAGTTGTTTTGACCTTTTAGGATCAAAGCAGAGAAAGAAAAGGTTCGTCAGGAGGAGGAGATGAAACTAGAAAGAGCTCGGATGCTTGCAGAAGCCAGGCAGAGACTGGAGGAGAGAGAGCTGCAGATTCTGGAGCGTCTGAAGCTGGAAGAGGAGCAGAGAGCTGAGCAGCTGCAAAAGAGGAACAAGGAGGAGCCGAGGAGAGACTCTGCAAGGTAATCTGCATATAATCTGATCTCTGACCTTCTGTCACTTGGACAATGCTGTATAAAGATCTATTCTATCTGTAGCTGATGCAGTATAGCCACAATAAATATGCTCACAATCTTCATACACAAAGATAATGCTTTTGGAGGGAAATTACACAAAAAGAAAAAAAAACAATGGAAGAGGTGGAGTACAATTTAGATTAAAATCCTGTTGTGTATTTTGTAACTAGGGTAGTAATATTTAAACTTAAAGGATAAGCAAAAATTTGAAAAAGTAGTGATCAGAAATTAAAACATGATAAATTCTGTTTTATTTGATGTGATTTATAGGACCTCCCTTTGTACATGAGTTTTTTTTTATTTATTTTTGTAGCCCAGTTAATCAGAGATTAGCCATTAATCAGTCTTTTCTTTGATGGGTTTTCAGAGCAAAGCAAAAGTTTCAAGCAATCTGGATTTCTGCTACAAAATAAAAC